GGAAGAGAGTAACCTACCAAGAACGGGTATTGGTAGAAAGCGAGATACCCAGGTCGGTGAATTTGTATTGAGTCGTTCCCCGCCGGAACGATATCGACGTAATCAGCGATACAAAATTTAGACCGCATATCAGATATTTGCTTTGACCCCATGAGTGATAGAACCTGCTCAGGAGCAGGAGCAGGTTCTTTCTGAAAGTCGTTTCTGACCGACGGGTTCCGATGAACTATCTCCTCCACGGTGGGAAGATTTTCATCTTCCGCAACCATAGGTTTGTCACTACCGGAAGGCATAGGGTGGCATCGAAAACTATATCGGAAGCATGAGGGGCTTTGTCATTTCTGCAATGAACGTGTGTACAGTAGAACAAGAAGAATGGTATCACGGGAAATGTATGGAAAATGGGAAAGCTAGAGCTAAGAAGCAGAAGGGTCAGAAGCAAGAGTCAGAGAGAAAGTAGAAGAACAAGAAAAGTACCAAATAAGTATGAAATTCATATGTCTCATTTTTGAATCTCCCTTCCCCTATTTATAAGTTATTATGGTGCCAAAAGCGATGCAAGAAACTGTCACTGACACTAAGATCGAAGCAACAGAGGCCCTGGAAATGAAGCATTGCATCGGGGTAATGATGACACGCGTGGTCATGACGTCATCCCATGTTAACCACGCCAACCACAACCTACGGGCCGACTCGTCACTAACGCAACCTCGACCAATTCAGCTCATCAGTCGTGGCGGAACATTTTGCACAGATGGAGTCCGCTCATCGAGGACTTCCAAGAGGACGACCTCAATAAGCGGAGGGACTAACTGTATGGGTCAAAATTAGGTCTAGCTTAGCGAATGCATACGGACGAGTTGAGGCCGAGGTCGAAACCCTGTATGATCTGGTGGCGAGGAGTCGCTCAAAGGAAAAGATCCGTGCTGAGGTCATGTAGAGAGCAATGGTTGTAATTGTTAGAATGTTCCTGTAACTGTGAATATGAATATTCTATTGAATATTCCCCCACATTGTACCTTTCTAGGGTTTTCTAAGGATATCCCTTATAAATAGAAAGAGAAAAGAAATAAAGAGGGGGATTCAGAATCTTTGTAAAAGATATCTTGTAAAGAATTGACTATCTGGGATACATAAAAAGCTTATTTTGTCTTCCTCGTTTGGTTCCACCATGTAACATTCTTCTTTAGCTCACAAAATCCAAGAACGCATAACACTCTTCACTGGTCTGCTGTCACGTGTCGTAGTTAGAGGAAGGAATCATCCATCTCATCCAACATTTGGGTGATAAATCCATTTATTATATTTACTACATTTGTTGCATGTTTCTATCCTCGTATTGATCGTTCGTCACAGAATATTAACTCAGCATTTTGTCAACTTGAACACGAACTCACCGCCTAGGTTAATCAATTTCGGATCTAGAATCTATTACTGTTAACTTGAATTCACCCTTCGTCTCTTTTTTTTGGTTTAACTAAAGGCTTTAAACTTTTTAGTCAAATAATTTGAACAAATCCGATCTCAATCACAACGATATTCTCAACCTGAATGTGATAGTTTGCTACTCTCTCTTTACAAATATATTTGTGACAACTTGTATCACTCTATTTAATTTGTTTGTCCATCATTTCCATGACAGGTTCCCAATTTAAAACAAATCTGTCCATAGAACAGCTTTCGTGTTAACAGTTGAAATGAAATGGCTGGCCCGAGTCTAAAGACATCAGATAATGTACTTTGAAATTATTAAAATATATTAATTGCGGTGTTGATTTTGGCAAATGGGTATTATTCTATGAAAAATTAAAATTTGAGTTCGTGCACAAATATGAGTGTAGTCCCTGTTTAAGAAGATTAACCCATAAGACAACAAAAAATTGATATTATTGAAACTCTATAACATGGAAAAGAAAAGATATCTGTCGGTGAGGTTGATATTTCAAGAAATAGAATGAAGGACCAAAGGAAGCTGATAATGTAAAAAGTCTATGGATATATACGTGATTCCATGGAATTGTCTAAACTTAAAGCATGATTTATAATTTGTAGACGTGAGACCAAGACTTTTAATACCTTCATTCATATGTAGGGGTACGGCCTATTACCTACGACAATGAGAGTGACATGTAGTACGTACTAGTCAATCACTCAATTATTAGGTGAGGAAAAAGTCTTCGGTCTAACTAAAATTAAATTAATTGGGAACGAATTTTAAGAAAAAATAAAAAAATTTGTAATTTGTGGTTGTAAACAAATTAAAAAGGGCCCAGAGTATTTGTGTGGTTATAAAAGCTTCTCATTAAAGGAAGAATTGTAAGTTTAAATTAAATTGTTACCAAATTTTAAAGAAGTCATCCTTTTTTCTACGGACCAATAAGAAAATAGGTTTACATAAATTGGAACAGAGGAATTATATGTAGGTCTAAGACTATAGGGTTATAGTTTTGAACTATGTCGTGCTTCGTACCACTTAGGGATGGCAATGGGGCGGTGCGGGTGCGGGGCGGGGCGGGTTTGAACGTTAGCGGGGCAGGACGGGTTTGAGATTTTGCGGTTGCAGGGCGGGGCAGGGCGGGTTCAATTTTTAAATTTTAAAAAAATGCGGGGCGGGTGCGGGTGCGGGTGGGGATTTCATATTTTAAACTAATAGAGAGATCTTTATAAAGTCTTTTCTTCTATTTGAATTATATGTAGTTCATGTAATAGAAATTTTCGTTCATAAAATTATGCATTTACAAAAATGCATTTTAGTAACTTTATTATTTTTAATGGTGCTATTTTTTAAAGCAAATTAAAGACAAAATCACTAGATTTAGAGGCAAAATATGGGAATTTAAGAACATTTTGGATGTAATTAATTGTTTTGTTAAAAAAATCAGATTTAAGTATAGCTTTCTAAAAAAGAAAGAATTTTTATAAATAAAAAAAAATTGCGAGTGTGGGGCGGGGCGAGTGAACACGGGTGGAGTGTGGGGCGGGTGAATGCGGGTTTAAATTCTATGCGGTGCGGTGCGGGGCGGGTTTAAATTTTGCGGGTTCAGACAGAACCCGCCCCGCCCCGCTTGCCATACCTAGTACCACTTTATTAAGTACTGTGCTTTATTTGGCATTATGCTTACACCCTCTTTAACTCATCCTATCCTTTCACGCGTTCCTCCACATTATCCTACTTTTTTTCCTTTATGCATTCGTATTCAAATTTTATTGTCACAATTACTTTAAAGTTGCGTTAGCGTAAAACTTATTAAAGGGCAGTACAATACATAAGATATATCGCGTTTATGCAGGAGTCGAGAAATGACAGCAAAGGGGTGGGGTTCGAAAAAGAAAAAATTATGGCCAGTGAAAACTGAACAAGGAACCTCATAAAAGTTTTGAACCCTTCGATCACAGAGCTATGCTTTTGGACTGTGACAAGAGGATTCAAAATATAATATATAGAGGCACAAAAAGAATTTTATCTTATATGTACGGTGTAGTTTACTAGCGAAGGGGGTTCAGGTTTTTCCTCGATGTAGAACGTCTACCATATAATGCAAGCATTAATAACTATTTTCACAGTTCGGATCCATGATATGTCACGTGGATACAACTTATAAAGGAGGAGAAAAAACTTGTGTGGTTTTGAGAAGTTTCGGTAATCTCTTTCTCTATTAATTTGTAATATTGTAATTATAACAACCTCTTATACTTTTGAACAAACATACTGCTTAATACTATGTCTGAAACCTACGTGCTCGTAGTGAATGTATTGGTGTAAAAAAGTCATTACACGTGGAATGTTAGTATGCTCACAAAGCATGACGTGTGGAGTAGTGATATGGAGACAAGTGACATTTTCAATTAATAGAATTAAGAATACGAGAAAGGCACGGGAGAAACACACACGAAACAGTATATAGAAAAAAACCGGGCCTGACCGTTGTCAAAGAAGAGGCGAGGACGGAATGAATAAGGATAAAAAAAATAGAAGATACATGAACCAGAAGTAAATAAGGAAGGGAAATCGGAGCAGTTATAAACCATTTATATCAATAAAATATGCCAGTTACGATTATCTGTGGTGATGGGCAATCAATACAATTAATGCCCATGATGAATTCAGATTATGTGAGAAAATCATTATGATTGTACGCTCCTATATAAGGAGACAGAATTTTATTTGTAAAGACAAGTTCCAAGTACTATGGAAATACATTCCATAATTCTCTGCTTTACAACCTTGATTTTAGGGATTGATTATTGATTTATCCCTTATTTCTCTTTGTTAATTCTCTCTATAATTTTCACCATTTTGCAAATAGCCTGTCGTGAAAGTGGAGTAAAACTTGGTTATCAGTAACCCATTTTCTTCTAAATATAAGCTTTGACCAAAAATTTATTTTTCGGTCAAACAATTTGGTTCTGCTGCCGGGGTTCTGATAATCTTTTCACTTTCCAAATTCTTTTTCTAACAGAAAACTATGTCGACTGTTAACGATAACAACCAGCTGAACTCACAGGAGGGAGCAACTCCACCACTCCTCTCTCCGCAAGGATCTCCTCAACAGTCCCGTGATGGATTACCTGATAGATCTGCGTCACACGCTACTGATCAGCTAGGGGATGAACAAACTGTCGAACAGGACGCTATAAAGCAATTGATTGCAGAACACGTGAACAATTCTCTTCAAGCCTTTATTAGGGGATTGCCAACTACGCCACAAACTCCTCCACCAGTCAATATCGCAACCCTAGAAAACCCACGCTCTGGGCTCGACAATTCTGGAAGTGGATGAACTCCCAATGAATCTCGTGATGGAAGGTCAGGTACACCAAATAATTTTGATTTACAAAGTTTGGTACTAACTTTGTAGAAACAGTTGAAAGAGCAAAATGATCGCATAGAGCAAATACCTGGCGTACCGCCCGTGATTAAAGGGGTAGATATTAATAAATATTCACAACAGCCCTGGAAGCCAAGTGCAACACCTTTGCCGATTCCTAAATAGTTTAAAATGCCTGCTGTTCCAAAATATGATGGAACAACTAATCCTCGAGATCACGTAATTGTGTTCACAACTGGCGTGAAGGGCAATGATTTAACCAAGCAGGAAATCGAATCAGTTTTGGTTAAAAGATTTGGTGAAACACTCACGGAAGGAGCATTAACGTGGAATTCTCTTTTACTTGAAAACTCTATTGATTCTTTTGCTGAGCTTGCAGATTCATTCATAAAAGCACATTCGGGAGCTCAGAAAGTTGAAAAAGGGATGGAAGACATATTTAAACAACGAAATATAGAATTACTCAGGGAGTTTGTGGATAGATTCCAACAGGAGAGGATGATGTTACCACGAGTACCTGACAACTGGGCAGCTATGGCATTCGCAAGAAATCTAAACGTGAAAAGTTCAGAAGCCACGTGGAGACTGAAGGAAATTTTGCGAGAATTTCCTGCAACAACTTGGAATGACGTGTACAACAGGTACAGCACGAAGCTGCAGATAGAAGAAGATACGGTTGCACAGCCAAGGGTTGATGAAAGAGTAGGATCGAGACGTTCAAAATCAGAAAGAAGGACCAGGAAAAATAGGTACAAGCCTTACATGGGACCTGTAGGGCGAGATTCTCGGTCTAAGCAAGAACACACACGATCTGAATCAATATCAAGGCAAAAAGATGCAGGTTCTTCATCCAGATTCAGAAAGGAACGGGATACACGAGGCAACGACTCCAATACACATGCGAGGGTTGGTAATTACAATTTTAATGTCAGCACCTCCGAGTTAGTGGCTATTTTAAGAGGTATGGGAGATAAGGTGAGATGGCCAAAAGAGATGAGATCAGACCCGAGCAAAAGAAATCCGGATTTTTGGTGTGAATTTCACAACGATCATGGACATAGAACAACAAATTATAGGTTACTACAAGGAGAAGTCGAGCATTTGTTGAAACAAGGTTATCTAATTGACCTGTTCAGCGAGAAAGGTAGACGATCATGTATGAAGAACAAACAAGAACCCCCGAAACCCCCGTCTCCAAAAAGAATAGTCAATGTAATAACCGGGGGAGACGAGGTCAATGGTGTGACATATACAGCTGCAAAAAAGACGTCAAAAGTCACAATCACTCATGGGAAATGAGTTCGCCAAGTCTTGGATGGAGACAGTATAAGATTTGATGACAAAGAAGAGGATGGCTTGATGATTCCTCACAATGACGCACTAGTAATATCTCTACTTGTACATGATACTAACGTAAAACGAGTTTTGATTGACCTAGGTAGTTCCGTAAATATCATTCTACTAAGAGTGGTGAATGAAATAAAAGCTAACGACAAGGTGATACCAAAGGCATGGTCTTTGTCTGGATTTGATAATTCAAGCATTATCACAAAAGGGAAAGTAGTGCTTACCACGTTTGCAGAAGGAGTTACCAAGGACACAAATTCCAGGTGATAGATGCGGACATGGCTTATAATATAATTCTGGGAAGACCATGGATTCATGATATGGATGTTGTACCGTCCATATTGCATCAAGTTATTAAATTTCCTTCACAGTGGGGGATTCGGCAAATCCGTGGAGATCAACAGGCTTTTAGAAGTATTAATTCAGTGGTGGTTACAAGCACGGTAAACGATGTTGCAGGCGAGAAATAACAACTAGAGATTCAGTTGAGGACGTCGTAATACAAACCTCAACTAAAGGAATTCCAAGACAAACTGATGTTGATTCAAGACCCGATGCTATTCAAGAGCCAAAAGAAAATGAAACATTAAGACAACTACCGAAGAACTCGAAGCGGTGGTGCTATTTATACACTTGCAAAACAAAAAAGTTTACATCGGAGCAAACCTAAGCCCAGAAATGAAAGGTAAGTTAATTGAATTTTTAAAACTTACACAGATTGCTTTGATTGGTCGCATGACAGGTATACCACCGGAGGTGATGATCCACAAACTGAATGAGGACCCATCATATCCACCTGTCAAGCAAAAGAAGAGGAAGCAGGGATCCTTCAAAAATCAAGTAATCCAAGATGAGGTACAAAAGCTTTTAAAAATTGGGTCAATATGGGAGGTAAAATACCCTAACTGGTTAGCTAATACTGTGGTAGTTCCAAAAAAGAATGGGAAATGGCGAGTTTGTGTAGATTATACTGATTTAAATAAAGCTTGTCCTAAAGATTCGTTTCCTTTGCCGCATATAGATCAACTAATTGATTCTACCGCAGGACATGAGCTATTAAGTTTTTTAGATGCATATTCAGGTTATATCCAAATAAAGATGGATCCTTTAGATGAAGAAAAAACTTCGTTTATCACAGACAGGGGGACTTACTGTTAAAAAGTCATGCCATTTAGTCTAAAAAATACTGGAGTCATACCAAAGATTGATGACTAAAATGTTTCAAGAACATCTGGGAAAGACTATGGAAGTCTACATTGACGATATGCTAGTCAAATCATCACAAGCAGGAGATCAATTTCAACATCTGTCAGACACTTTTCAGATTCTCCGCAAATACAATATGAAGCTAAATCCAGAAAATGTGCTTTTGGCGTGGCTTCAGGTAAGTTTTTAGGTTTTCTTGTTTCTAACAGGGGTATTGAAGTGAATCTTGCACAAATCAAAGCTATCGAGGAAATACTAGATGTACTCACAAGCAAAAAAGAAATGCAGAGATTAATAGGAAGAATAGCAGCCCTGTGGAGGCTTATTTCAAAATCATCGGAAAAAAGTTTAAATTCTTTTCAGTATTGAAAAAGCAGAATTAATTTGAATGGACTGATGAATGCCAACAACCCTCAAGGACCTAAAATCGTATTTGTCAAATCCACCTTTTGCTAGCCAAACCAAAAGCGGAGAAAGACTGCTTATTTACCTTCACTACTAAAAAATCTAGTTTTCGCTACGGACAAATTCTGTAACTAAATAGAAAAATTCGTCTCTAATCTCATTTAGCGACAGGTTATTAAGAAATTTTGCTAGCTACGGGTGATTTAACGGCAGATTAGCGACGACGTCCGTAGCTAATTTCAGTTTTCTTTTGTAGTGCTTGCTGTGTTAGAATTGGCAGTAAGCGCGGTGTTGGTACGAGAGGATAAAGGTAAATAATCTCCAATATATTATGTTAGTAAACCTTTGATAGATGCTGAGACACGATATCCTCATCTAGAAATACTTGCTTTAGCATTAGCTATGTCATCTAGAAAGTTGAGACCTTATTTCCAATGCATCCTATCTCTGTAATAATTGCTTTCCCCCTGAGGAATATATTGCATAAACAAGAACTATCTAGTAGGTTAGCTAAGTGGTCAATAGAACTCAGTGAGTATGATATCATATATCAGTCCAGAACTGCAATAAAATCGCAGGTTTTAGCAGATTTCAACACAAATTAGTTCCTGAAGCAGAAAAGGAATTATAGGTATTCACTAGATCTAATCCGGGGACTTGGATTTTATTTACTAACAGTTCCTCGAATGTTAAAGGAGCGGGCTTAGGTATTGTTTTAATTCCGCCTTCAGGGGAAGTCATAAGACAAGCAATAAAATGTTATCCCATCACTAATAATGAAGCAAAGTATGAAGCTGTGATTGCAGGTTTGGAACTAGCATGAGAACTTGGTATAGAACAGATTATAATCAAAAGCAACTCGTAGCTATTAGTTAACCAAATGCAGGGGACATACATAGCAAGAGAGGCACGAATGCAACAATACCTGGAAAAGGTACGGAATTAGTCAGACAATTTCTGTCGTGGAAGGCCGTACAAATACCTAAGGAGGAGAATGCGGAAGCGGATGCACTGTCCAATCTCGCATCTGTTACGGAAATAACAAATGCAAAAAATGCCACTGTAATACATTTGTTTCATTCGGCACTCGACCAAGACAAGAACAGGGTAAATTTTAATAATCTAACTTGGTATTGGAGGAACGATTTTGTTAACTTTTTGCAGTACAGAGTCTTACCCGAAGAAGTCATATTTGCTTCGTCAAAAAGCTGCCCAATATTGCTTAATTCGCGAAAACTTATACCGAAAGATGTTCGGAGGACCTTTGGCACGCTGTCTCGGACCTTCACAAACGGAATATGTGATGACGGAAGTACATGAGGGCACTGCGGCAATCATGCTGGGGGAAGATCATTGGTAAAGACTTTAATAAGAGCAGGATACTATTGGCGAAAAATGGGGAAAAAAGCAAAAAACTTTGTAGTCAGGTGCGATAAGTGTCAACGATATGCCAATACATGCCACCCAGCAGAATTGTTACATTCAGTTATCACGCCATGGCCTTTCATGAAATGGGGCATGGATATCATAAGTCCGTTACCTCAAGCTAAAGAAAGGTACGGTTTCTATTAGTTTTAATAGATTATTTTTCAAAATGGGTAGAAGCAGGAGCTCTCAAACAAGTGCGAGAAAAAGAAGTCAAGGACTTTATTTGGCGAAACATTATCTGCTGGTTTGGAGTTCCAAAGGAAATCATGTGTGACAATGGCCCACAATTCATAGGCATGAAAATTACAGAGTTCTTTCAGGTTGGCAGATTAAACGGATTACATCTGCACCTTACCATCCTGTAGCCAATAGGCAATCTGTGTCAACAAACAAAGTTATTATTAATAACTTGAAGAAGAGACTAGAAGAATCAAAAGGCAAGTGGCCAGAAGTGTTACCAGGGGTATTATGGGCTTATCGATCGACAACAAAAACAAGTACGGGCAAGACTCCATTTTCACTTGTCTGTGGCACTGAAACCATAATTCCAGTAGAAATAGGTGAACCAAGTACGAGATACACACATGCTACTAAGGAGTCAAATGAGGAAGAAATGCGAATGAATTTGGATTTACTAGAAAAAAGGTCAGAAGTAGCGCTAATAAGGATGGCGGCTCAAAAACAGATGATTGAGCGATATTACAACAGGAAAGCTAATCTGAGATACTTCAAGATTGGGGACTTCGTCCTCAAAAAGGTATTTCGATCAACAAAAGCGGCTAACACGGGAAAGTTAAGTCCGAATTGGGAAGGCCCTTATAGGGTTCGTGGCATCACTGGAAAGGGAGCATATGAGTTGGAAACCATGGATGGCAACATACTACCATCAAACTGGAACGCTGTTCATCTGAAGAAGTATTACTTCTAGACGAAGGAAGTACCGATGGTCAGGTATCACGCTGATACAAATTTATTTTTTGTTCTTTTGAATTTTACATACAATTTTAGATGATAGGCAAAAAACTAGCCCATACCAAATGATGATATTAAACCCAAAAGACACGTGGAAGACTAAATTATTCTCAGTCTAGGTTGCAACCTTTTCTGATGGAAAAGGGGTTATGCAGTCATCATCTAAATGTATATCTCCGAGTCCCGTTTGTATTTTTCTTTTCAGAGAATGGACCAAAAAGAAGGAGCAATCCAGTGTTCGAGATTTCAAACTTCAACTATGCATATAGACAAGGAAGCAAAAGAACCAAAACGCCTGAATCAAAAACCTTGGAGAAACCTTGATAAGGTGTGAACTCGCAAAAAGGATGCAAGATACATTCCATATTCCTACAAGTTTTAGGTTAAGGCCAAAATTTAGTCATGGGATAATAGACCTAATTTTGTACCTAAAAATCTGTTAAAAAGAAAGCAGTTTGAAAGTGTTGTACTTTTGTATCTTAAAATCTGCTACGAAGAAAGCAGTTATGAAAGTGTTGTACGAATAATAGAGAAAATGATGTATGAAATTTATTTGAAAGTTCAAAGTTCAAACTTCCTCAAATTATTTTGTTTTTGTCTACTTTGTATTTCATACATTTACACCAATATGAAGATGAGACGTCATCTTCATTAGTGTCGTTTACATAAAAGGGCCCTCTTTTATAAAAATTCGTATTTATCAAAGTCATGGATTATTAAAGCATTTTTTAAATGCAAGGAAAAGCTCCAATATCAAAGAGGAGATTAAACGGTAAAAGTAACTGAAAGATATATATATATATATATATATATATATATATATATATATATATATATATATATATATATATATATATATATATATATATATATATATATCAAGCCGTTGAAAAAAACAGAGGTATTAGTTTGTCATTAAACCCCAAAAGAAGACAGGGGTA